GTCTATTAATCTTGTAAGTGAAATATACACACGTAGACGACACATGCGCGCACGTATGCAGATATGGACTTTGGAAGGGGTTAAAGGATACTGTGTACACGATAAAAGGTATTATAGGCTATTCATTTGCCTTCGCTCACAATAGCGATATAAGAACGCCACGTCTGTGCATTCATCGTTTCGAAAACTTTCGAGTATTGTCGTCGGCATTAATAAACATAAGCGTTAAACCGAAGGATGATCGGATATGCATAGCTAAACGGACAAGATGGATTAAACGCGCAACATTCGACGTTGCACGAAAATTTCAACGTACAAGAGAGATATATAGGAGAAAGAATTTTTCTTTTCTCGGGATTTCTTTTTTTTTTTTTTTGAAGATTATTAATTAACATACCTTTATACTGAAGAAAGACTCTAGTAACTGCCAAATGTCGAATGAAATAATTTTAGTCAAAAATTGTTTTACTTTTCTAAGTATTTAATTATTACCAAACAATTGGTTCTATTTAACAATATTATTATTATTATTATACTTGTTAATGATTTAAAATAATAAAATTCGTAATTAGTTAATTAAACATTGAATTGAAATTACTTCACTCAATATTTGATGTATGAGCTATTACTATAAGATTCTTTTTCAATACACATCATTTTTCATTGTTAATTTTCATTTTTGTAAACGTACAAGAATTGTTAAATTATTTTTTATACACACGTATAAACATTTTTAGAAAGCATTTGTAAAATTATGTATTAAAAGAAGAAAAGAAGTTTATTACTTCAGCTTACATTACCAAGAAGAGATTTGAGTTACAATAACATCTTAATTACACAATTATTTACACAGCTAATTATAAAACTAGCAATTAGTACATGTATCGCAAGAGTATGTATTTAAAAAAAAAAAAGAAAGTGATAGAAACCATAAATTCAACAAAAGCTGTAAGTCGAAGCTGGGAAAATCGTGTCTAAAAAGTACTATATTTAATAAATAGAAATACAATATAAACGTTTGAATCCTTAATTTGGGTCCTTTTCAACATAATACTGACAAATTATTATAATAAAAAGTATTTTGCTTTAGAAAATATGACTAATAAAATGTAGATAAAATTTAAAAGAAAATAGAGATTATTATTTTTTCCATCATTATTTTTAGCCAGGTACTGTTTCGCTAGGATTTCAAAGAAGAGAAATACGCAGAACACGATAAACCCAATCGCGTTATATATTAAAGGTTAATATCGATGAATGAAACAATACTAAAACGCTGGCATTGGTCATCTATGCGTCCGTAGGGAGAGATCTCTTTTCTCTCGCATCGATCAAAGATCAAGAACGTCTGGTGCGCGATGCACTGAGGCGTCGCGTCGCGTCGCGTCGCGTCGCGTCGCGTCGCCGTGCGAATCTTCGTGCAACGACACACAAGTTACAGCCATAATTTTTTCTCGTCGCGCTCGTTGTATGGGAGTCGCTATACTCGCTGACTCTCCCCGTCGTCTCCGATGACGATTTCTCGCCTCGAAGAAACGCGCTGAGCCTTAATTTCTCAGTATCTAACACCACAGACGGTGTGTTATTCGCTACGTTCGTTGATAATGCTCCTCTTCTTCGCGTACCGTACATATATCCTCTCATCCCGACGCGACGCGACGGACGCGCGCGTGTTTTCATTAGCGTTCGCTATATATCTCTGCTTCGCTAATTAATCGATCGCCGCATTTCGAGGACCGCGTTTGCCGAGGTCGTACGCGGTACACCGATTGATTCTGCTCATCGACGAGCAAATTCGATTATCGCGCTGGTGAGTTATATCGTGTGTCGGCCGATGGAATATCCATGCGATCGGAACATTATCTGCGACACGGGATATTCGACAATGCAAGGGTCATGCGAGTTTAAACCGGAAATAGTAACCTATACGCTTCTCATTCCGCGTCGAACGAAACCGCTTTGCTTTCACGAATCCGCAGCGATTGCCGTTTCTATATTTTTCTCTCTGCGTCCAATTCGAATTAATGCCTCGGGATGTCACTTAGACGCGAGACGTTACCGCGTATAATCGCGCGTAACTGGAGAACGGGTGTGTTACATTTATACCGCGTGCGACTCGAGATCTCGCTCATGTCCCACATCCGATCTCCAAATTCATCTCGATCCGGAGCAAACGAAAATGCAAGCAAACGTGCTGACTGGGAATTGCAGTTTATTTCTCGGGATTATTTGTTGAACTCTGAACCGTGCGCCGCGCGTGAACATCGCGCTGCTGCTCGACATCGCGTGTGCGTGCGCGCGCGGTGCGTGTGTGTGCGACATCGTGTCGCGGCCACTCGGTTACGTCACTAGCATCATGGACATTATTATGTTCCTACTGACGCAGGTACAATATGCCTGCCACGCTATTAGAGCAGGCCGCGTTAACCTGAAACCGCGCCGTGCGCAAGCGGAGTGTGTATGTATTTCATAACGCCGAGCGCGTGCGCGCGACGAACACGGACTGACAAAGAGAGAAAGAGAGAGAGAGAGAGAGAGACGTAGAAATATTTGTAAGCGATATATTCCTTATTATCAGCAAAAAAGTAATGAAAAATGCGCCAAGTGAGATGCTTCGTGTAAACGCGACGAGTGTCGCGATCTCGCGTCCTTGCTACTTCACCGAGGTGAAAAAACGACGTCGAGAAGGCAAAATGTCTTCGTAATGTTCGTAAGCGCGAATCTGGCGATACGTTAGTAAACCGTCGCTCGTAAAGTTATACAATATATATAATTACAATATATGTATTCGTTTAATTGAAATCGTATTAGAGGCGATAAGATTGAGTGATATTCACCCATTCTCGACCGTGACGATTTGAAAAATCCACTCAAGTAAGAGACGCTCGTGCATGTCTCTCCTCCGTCCAATTTGTCGCGCAAAAAGACCTCGAAATGGATGATTCGAGCGAACGCAGCCGTTCGTGTCCTAATTGAGAGAAAGAGGGAGAGAGAGAGCACGTGTCCCGCCACATTATGTAGCATCGTAATAGCGATTTCATTACCGGCCCGTATGGGACACGTAGAGTAACATCTGCATGCCGAATCGGCGTCGGAGTGCGAGTTCTATTAGAAATTCGTTCCTCCTAGTCGACTCGTTATACCATTTCTTTTGTTTCCAGCTATACCATATTTGTTTTTTTCCTCGTATTTGCTGCACAGCTAAAACCAGGTAAAACCGCAACGCATGACGGCCGAATGCGCCAGTGCACCTCGTTGATTTTTCATTCAACGAGATTACGATAACTCACGCGCGTTTACATTGCGATTGATAGTAACTTCCTTTCCCACGCTTAGTATCAGGATTGCGTTATCTGCGCGATGCGCGCGGCGACGCGTTGACGGTGCGCGGCATTGCGACTGGTGTTTACCGTGTAGATATACGTATAGCGTTACGTGTAACGATAGAAATGCAGAAATTTCGAAAAATCACGAGAAAGAAAAAAGTAATACGTTTTGGGAAATCGCTGAGCGTACACGTTGATCCGATTGTTTCGATCGAATTCACTTTCCCCCCCTCTTTTGTTCCGTGACGCGATGATCGCTACACGTCGCCCTGAAATAACAAATTCCATCCATTGAATTATTCAGCTTTTATGGCTTTGCTTTTCATTTGCACACAAAACGTATGAACATTTTTACGTCGGTTTCATATAATAGCCCGAGCGCGCGAGCTGAAGCGCAAACTAAAGTCGTAATTATCGGTCGACCGCGGGACGGTTTTTGCGATGTTCGTCGCATTCGATGCGAGCCGATGAGAATAAACTGGCGTATAATTGTATATTCCACTTTTGCGCGATCGTAGATTTTACATAAATGTCGCCGCGTTGAGAGCGTGACGTTGGACACGTCGCTTCCCGTCGCCCTCTTAACATACCGAAATGTGTAGAGCGAATAAAAAGAAAAGGCCGTTACGGAGGAAAGGTGGAGACTCTTGTCGTGAGCACTGTATGCAAGTCAAACGATGCATTATTCCTTGACCTGACCCAACGAAACCTCCTTTCATATTCATTAGGATCGTCCCACTTCAGCCCGCCGGCGGCCGCTTTGGACCACGAAACGCAAACCGTGTGTCTCCGCGATGCAACGCATGAATCGATTTGTGTGAAAGATATGCCGGAGGAAAAAAATACCTCCTATACAACGCGGAGGAGTTATACATATAGATGTTAAATAATAATCTCCGATAGTATAATTGGGGTACACTTTCAATAGCGTAGTTTCTTTTTCCGAGGACGTTCAGAGCTGGAGAAAATGAAGAAAGCGCGTCGCTGTAAAAGAATCGAATATCTAGATCGTAGAAAAAGGGACACGATATGTTGCTCGAGTCTGATATCGTTAATCACGTAATATCAGACGCGGTAATCCCCGTAAAGCCTGCGCGTGTATCGTTTGCCCTCCATCTCTCCGTCGTTTTCTTCCTCTGCCGTCGCATCTTCGTTTCCTTCTCTTCCTCCGAGTTGGAGAGATGCGTCGGATGAGAATGTTATTTTATCATATGCGTAAAATCGTCCGAGCACAATGCTATTCCTGTGTCACAGGGCCGTATGCATAACGCCTGTACATCATGTCATTAGCATTTCGACAATCGTGTATCGTTCACCTCGAAAAGATTTCCGTATCGGTTACGCATCTGCGCCGGAATGAGACACACTCGCTAATCTGAATGCGTTCCGTCGTTTTCAAAGAGTCATCCGTTTTCAAAGACAAACGAGACGCTCTCTGCCACAAGAATCTAATTGTCTCGACTTCCTTCTATTACTGCGTGGTCTCTTTCCCTCCTCGTCCACACATTCACATCTGGCTAAGTATATATCCACCATAGATCCTGCTGATAGATTCAACTTGGATATGGTAGATTAGGTACATTTGATTGACTTTCAAAATAGGAAAATGATTCAGTTTCGGCGGCAGGAGCATTAAAACAGACGCATATATCATAATTCTATCTTTGATTGTAGAGGGACGCGAATCACACCGACGAGACCGAAGGGATTTTCTGGGAACCATCCTGCATCGACAATCGCAACGCGAGGAATCAGAATCATGTACGCCAACTGCAGGAGCAATTGGCACAAGCCACCGTGAAAGTACGCGAATTAGAATGTGAGCTAAAGCACGTTCAGAAGGTAATAATTGTTAACAGCAAAGTGCCATGTAATAGTACGATGTTAACTTGGTGGAAATAATTAATATACAGGTGGACGCATCCTTCAAGGATGATATATCTGACGGACATCAGAAGGCTGAGGTTGTACGGGCGAAACAAGACATGCTGAATCGCATAATACAAATGGAAGAAAAGGTATGGAGCGATATATCAATTATGCACCTTTTACGTCATCTTCCTGTTAAGATTCTAAATTTTAAATAAGGTTGAACTTAAAGTCGCAGTAGAATCGAAAAAGAGACACGAATTCTCCCTCGTGTATATAAGAAAAAAAATGTATGTTAAAACGTAATGTCGTATAAAGAAAGAAAAAAAAAGTACGCTTTTCTGGGAATTAGATATTTTCGAGTATTACGGAGTATAGTTAATCCAGCGGAAACAATTTTTTGGAAATTAATTATTTGTTATTCCCCTTGTGTATTTATATAACCTTTGTGAAATGTTTTTATCACAGCTGTATTTTTCGCCTATCTTGAATAATAAGTGATCCTTATTAATTTATGAAAAATAGTTTTAATAAGTCGCATGGATAATTAATATTCTATTGAACCAGATTTACTTTATTTTTATACTTTTTCACGATATTTAGTATCGACATTTTGCTTTTTCTTAGACTCGAGAAGCAGAACGGAACGCTAAACATATCCATTTGGATGAAGCCAGTCTTATCAATGATTTTCGTTTAGTAATATCGAAATTAAATTCACGTGAAAAATTTGACTTGATCAGTGGAGCATTAAAAGCTTTACAAATCGAAAACGAGGCACAAAAGGAAACGGTTGAAAAGATTAAGAATCATGAAAAATCCGATGAACTTGAAAAAGTCGATGGTTTCGAATGTAATTCTTTAGCTATCAAACACACAAATTCGCAACAGGACAAACCGCATGATATGACTGAGGCACTTTTGATCAACAAAGAAGCAATATTACAAAAGAAAATAGAAGAACTCCGAAATGAAAATAAAGATCTTCTAGATGCTATGGAAAAATTGGACGAGGAACATACGCAGTCGATTGGTAAGTGAATAGTAGTCGTATTTATAATACATCAATATATATTATTTTGTTGATATATTTGTTTTTCTCTCTTAATAATCTTATCGTTGTCAAAAACTATAGTGACATAAATTCCAATTTTTGCACAGAAAAATTATTATCGCTCAAAGAAGAAAGTAATAAGAAACATCGCTCTCTACAAAATGAGTACGAACAACTTTCCGTAGATTACAATGAGGCTAAGAAAGAAATAATTGAATTACGAAATGATTTATCGAAACACGATGAAAATACCTGTACAGAAACAATTCATCAGTTTGCTCAGACGGATAATGTGGATAAATCAGATAAACACGTTCAAATAAAAGTTTCTTCACAAGAAACTGACATAGTCAGTTCAAAAGCAAGTAAACTAGACGATATTACCGAGAAAGTTAAAATTATTTTAAAGAACTGTACCATAAGTAGTATTGAACCGGGAGAATCAATCTTCGAAGCTATTGCGAAACAATACGTTGATGCTAAATGGAAGCTAGATGTTTTGGAAAGGAAGATCACTGAAGTTACTAGAGATTTAAAGGAAACCGAAGAGATGAAAGATGGCTTGCAAATGGAATACGAAGAACTGCAATCTCACATAGACTCGTTATTGTTAGAGAAAAATATGAGAATAAAATCGTGTCAGGGTTTAGATTTGAATTTGCCATCTATTCCTGAGGCAAGCGAAGAACGAGTAGCTTCTCTAGAAATGGACATTGAATCTTTACGGGAAGAAGTAAAACGCCTCTTGACTGAGAACAAAACGATACAAGAAACAAATGCAACTTTGATGCTTGCTGTACAAAGTAACGAAGTGCCTTTAATAAACAACGATGATATACAAGGAAATGGAAATCGCAAACTATATACACTTATAGAGGAAAACAAAGAACTTCCAATAGCTTTCGACGAGAGTAGAAATTTAAACGAAGATATAATATCGATCGAGCAATTGAAGCTCGATCATGAAAATGTGGAAGAAGAATTAAATCTATCTGGAACAAAGTCATTAGAAATTAATCTTGCATCTTTGCAGGAAACTATAAATAAATTAACAGAAGAAAATAAAGATTTATTACGGAAGAACAAATACTTGGATATGCAATTACATGACAAGATTTTGTATGAACATGACCTACAAGAAGAAACTAGTTATTTGTTGGAAGACTTGCAGAAACGACTCAATAAAGCCAATTGCGAAAAATTAGAAATGAAAAATGATGTTTTACATAAGGAAGAACAACTGGCTACGGTGCAGATTCAAGTTGACATGAGACAATCTGAAATAGCAAAATTGTATCAGGATAATGACAGATTAATTAAAAAAAATACATCTCTGTCAGAACAATTAACTGCTACGCACGATGAATCATTGGATAAGATAGAGTTATTGAATACAGAAATGTCGTTGCTTCAGCAAGAACATGAAGATTTGAAACAAGAAGTATTGATTTATAAGGAAGAATTACCTGTATTGAAGGAAAAATTGTACAAGGCACAACAGCAGTATACAAAACTGGAAAATGAATATTATGCGTTTAAATCGCAAAGAGAACAATTTGAATTACATAAAAAAGATATTCAAAGTCAAGCGATAGAAATAAAATCCGGAAATGAATCAAGTTTTAAAGAATCGTTTACAGAAGAATTAAATTTGTTAAGAAACAGATGTAAACTTTTGGAACAAGAAATAGAAGTACTTCGTACTAAAGAAACACACGAATTGAAAAAAAATACTGCGGAGATATCTTTGACAAACATTGACGAAACTAATAAAGAGCAGAAACTTTCAATTGCTGAAGATAACTTAATCGGAGTAAAAAATACAGTTACAGACATGAACATAGGAAAGCAAGATTTAATGACAAGAGATACGAACGTAACATCTAACGAACAGCAAACAGAAAACAAATCAATTGTCGATGAAGAAAGACGAGAAAAAGACATCATAAAAGCGTATAATGAAAACTTAATGGACGAAATTAACGATTTGCGTAGCAAGTTACAAACCGCTTTCGAGAATAATAAAGAATCAGCAGAAATGGCTAAACAAACTATTGAAGGTCTTTCTCATATTATTCGAGAAAAAGACCAGGAAATAAATATTTTACAAGCTGAGATAACTCACGCGAAAAGTGTTATCGCGCAGTCTTCGAACGATCTTGCTGCAATCAAAAATCAGAAGAGTGAGGTTGAACAACTTGTCTCTATTAAACACAAGGAAAACTTACAATATCAAGTCGAGATCCAAAAGTTAATTCATCGCGCACATGAGCAAGCAGCTTGCATTCAAGAATTAACTTCTGAGCAAAAGGCTCAGCAAGAAAACCACCTAGTGGATTCTAGTATCGAAATCGTGGCTCTAAATAAAAAATGCGACGCCCTAGAAGCTGCTCTGGTGCAAGAACAGTCTAGCGCTAGAATTTTGCAGAACCAGCTTATCGAAATTCAAAACAAGGAAGTTAATTCCGCTAAAGAATTAGAGAGATTGAGAACGCACTTGGTCGAAATGGAATCAAGTTATACAGAGGAAGCCCTAATCGCCGAAAATAATCGTCAGGAGTTAGAAGCACGATTATTGCAAGCTGAAGAAAAAGTAAAAAGTAGTTCAACCGCTTTTACATCGGCAAATATTAGGGCTAATCAGCAAGTGGAAACGTTGCAGCAACAAATAGCTCTGATTACTCAACAAAGGGATCAAATACAGGCAAAATTATCCGCAGCAGAGGACAATATTCAGTTGCAGTCTGCTTCTTTGACTAATTTACAAATAGTTTTGGAGCAATTTCAACAAGGTGAATAGCAATTTATATTTATCTAATATATAAAATAAATAACAATTTTTATATATCTAATATCATTGATACAATATATCATACCAGTTGTGCTTTCATATATTCTCTTCGTATTATAAATTTTATAATTGTATATATCTATAGCATATAGATCTCAATACTAAGATATATTGACGACACGCCATGCTTACAGATAAAGAACGCGATGTCATGGCGGCTACAGAAAGACTTCGATCTCGACTCGCTGAGTCATACGAGAAACAAGATAAATTAGTAGATGACGCTTCAAATCTTCAGGTTTGCCTTTATATCTTTCCCATGCATTCGTATAACAGTCCGACTCTCAATTTATTTTCTTATAAAACTATATACTGATTGCTTCTACGGTGTGCTTACAGCAACAGTTACGTGAAGCTAGAGAATGCTTGAAAGCTGCCTCTAGACTAAGCGAACAACTCGAGAAAAAGGACGATCAAATCGAGCGACTCAACGAGGAAGGTAATTATTATCAGAGATTACATATTTCTGGCATTGCCTGCATCTTGCTCTTTGTTTATGGCATGATTAGTGTTTTTCGATTAAATCGTTTTATGCATCATGAGAAGCAAGTTGAAAATAAGTTTCCCTCTCATCACGATATAGAAGGCTGGTCACGTATTTTTTTACACATATTTCTGCTTTTGTTTTAACTCATTCTGACAAATACCGAGTTGCGCGCTATCCAGTGAGAAATGACAATGGAATTGACGTCGAATTAATATCAATTCAACGTCGAATCGACATTAATTCGATGTCGATTTCATTATCATTTCTCACTGGGTACGGCACTAATTTAATAGTTCGTTAAGTGTATGTATGTATGTAAGTAATATATTATAAAGGCAAAAAAAGAATGAGAAAATCTGCAGAGCCATTCGACATCATCAATAATCTTACATCGCGACAATTTCGTACTGGAGAGTGCAATACTTTAATGAAAATTGCCTACATTACGCAAATACGTATAAAATATTTGTGACTACGATCAAATTTTTTTGCCAAATTGTACTACAAATATTATAGATTGTAGCACATGTGATAAATAAATCTATCAAAATATGTAAAAATTTGTTCATGTTCTTCGTCTCTCTATTGATGGCAATACTGAAGTTGCTTACCAGTTATTGCGATGATAAATCGATTTGAAAATATTTAAACGTACACTGTTAAAAGCATTACTAATTTTTTATTTTGCGGATCTCTGAATGGAATATGTCAATCTCAAATATGGCTTTTTTGTAAATAACATAATAAGACACATATCGCATACGATAACATTTAGAAACGATTTAGGTAACATCAAAAGGGACGTCTAATATTTATATATTAATATGTAATATATAAAAACGATTGAGAAGAGAGAGAGAGAGAGAGAGAGAGAGAGAGAGGATACGGTTGAAGAGAAGATACGATAAAGCGTGCATTATCGAGAATACAAGCCAACTACAGTCTAGAATTATCAGTATGTTCGCGTTCTGTGACTAATCTGCGAAAGCAAACACATACACAATCCGGTAATGTAGTCAAATATCAGCTGGTAATTCTGGGATTTGTGACAGTAGCCCAGGATTCTTGCTGGTATCTGGCTACGAACTGGATCATCGCCTTTGCATACTCACAAATCACGTATTGGTTGGTTCATGCAATTGCCGTTGGTGCTGGTACTACATTTCTGCACTTTACCACGAATTCTTATTTTTCCCACCTCTATTGATAATTTTAACGTTCGGAAACTTAAAGAAAAGGATATTAATATTGCACTTTCTTCTATGTATGACGATAAGCTCAGCTAGTATCCTCATCGCCCATTTTTGTTCGATCGAATCATTACTTCGTTATTGTTATATCGTAACTAATTACGATGACTAATTAACAGTATGATTGAATGGTTGTGTATATATCATAAAGATTCCCCTACTAGCAATTTATTTCTGTCTAGTAGAACAAATTTTTACCCTTTTTATTATGTATGTACATGTAGTAAGAATATTATTGTCTTGTTTTGTTTTATAATATCTGGTAAGACCATTATTTTACGTAATAATATAATTTGTTATGTCGAACGCATGCAAAATAGTAATGTATAAAAGACACAAAATATTTTGTATTTTTTCAAATCTGCTCTACATATGTAAGCCAGATGTATTAACGATATATATTTAAACATCGAATCGAGACATCAGATTGCGCGAAATAATGGTAATTATACACTAATTATAACGATAGATATTAATTAAAACGATATAATTGTTATAATTATAACAATAGGTATTGTAACGATACGATTATTTCGAAACAATTGCCACTACTTCTGTCTATAAATTCTTCGCTCGATATTAATATTTTTTTAAAAATAACATGTCAGAGTTGTAATTAATTTGTAATATAAATAGTTGGAGAAACCGAAGAGCTTAGATGAGATATAATTCAATAAGATCTTATAGGCTTTGTACAATAAGCCGTTACTTAAACAATAAGTAATTAAACAGTTATAGTCGATCATTCATCTCACATTCGATTGTGATTGGTTAATTTCTTCTCACTTAAAAATTAAGTAATAGCTTATTGTAGAGAAATATAGATTACATAACAGTATGATAGATAAAATGAGATATTCCATAATGGTATAAAGTATTATGTATATATAAGTGAATATCAGATATAAATGAGAATATGAAATAGAAATGAAATGTTGAACGTAAATAAATAACGAACCAATCATAATTTGGTAGCGATAGCCGTGGGTAATCTCATGCGGTAACTGTGAGCGTGTAAAAACAAAAAGCTCATATTACCTCGTGGGGTTTCCCACTCGTTACCAAGATTCGTCAAAATTATGAATCTAGTTCGGTCAAAAGATAATTTTGATAGTTAAAAAATTAGTCACTTTTTGGTTTTTAGTAAAATTCATGGCATGTCATAATTATATTTTTATTAATTCACGCGTAAATTTTGAGGAGTGGCAAAAGGAAAGATAAAGCATTACGTATGTAAGTCGCTCTTTTGTTCTCTTCTTCTACTTCTATCTCTCGGAAATTCCATTCGAATGTGCTCCGGTACGTGACTCTGGAGTACGGATCGTTTTACTAAAACGCTTCTTTAATTCTAGTGGCATGCGCGCAACCTTAGTTTCGTAGAACGGCATGATAAACGAAGAATGCAGCATGAGCAACTAAAGGCGCAGGCGAGAGTATTGCATCAGGTACTGGTGTGATATCGAAGCAACCAGTACTTGTGTTATACTTACGCTCGTGTCTTTCCGAGCTACCAATTTGCCAACTTTACAACGATGGATACCGCGCATGGTGTACATAAAAAAAAATATCAGAAATATTCCGCAATTGATACCGTATAAATAAGCATTAACCATGTTCCACAAAGATTTGGCAGTTTTCTGCGGATGAATGCATTTACTGAACCTTCTCATTTCCCTTTCTGACAGAAATTTTCAATTTTTTTTTTTAAAGAGCTTGATTACAATTTTTTTTTTTATTAATCATGTATTTTTATTAATCATTTTTTATTAATAATGATCGATAATATGCATAATATTCATTTCCAGTGGTACGATTAACAGCATCCTTAAATTTTGCTGATCAAAAGGTGAAAGAGGCAACGGAACATGATGAGGGAAAAGTGGACAAGTGAGTATGTTCCAAATATATTCCACCTTTGAATGAAATAAAGATAAATGGTAGTATCTCGTGAAATTCTTGCAGAATTCTTATAAAAAATCTTCTTTTGGGCTACTTGGCTTCGACTACGTCGGACAAGTCTTCAATTCTCAGAGTTTTTGCAAACGTCTTAGACTTCACCGAGTCGGAGAAAGATAAGACTGGCTTGAATAATGCGTACAGTAGCCGTCAAGCCGACAAAAATAGCGGCGCATCTTTAAAAGTATACAGATTTGTTTATTAATTTTATTAACTGATTGATATCATAATTTCCGTTTACATTCGAAATTCGACAACTTGATTTACAGTTGCATCACAAATACCTAACATTCCATATCTTGTAGGATCAAGAAGCATCCTTATCAACGGCCTTCGTGAGATTTCTAGAAAGCGAATCTAAGCCAAAGCCTCAGTTACCAGCTTTGCCTATTCTAAATTCAGTAAGTACTAACAATAACTCTGCGTAATGATTCTCTATTAGAAACCATTCTCATTATACGCTATAATTGCAGCCTGCGACTCGACCAGGATATAATAAACAACAATCATCATCATTATCATCATCGGCGCAATCTACATTATTGTCCAACGTTGCTCTTCCAACATTCCCCGACTTTATTCCAGCAAGAAATACAGGCTCTATTTTGAAGGAGGTGTTGAAGGATAGTTGATATTTAAACGCATTGTATTAAATATTGTACAAATAATATTAGGAACTATAATATAATCGATTGCATTTTATATCAATCCGTAATAGTTACTTCTACCGCCTGACTGCATATCACTTTAATCATTCTGCACACAATTCTAAAATCTATTAAGTAAAATTCTGTATGCTCATATTATACATATATGAAAAATAACAGTTTTGTTTCATTTGAAATAACTTTAATGTAGCTATATAATGTTACAATGAACAAAAAGTATACTATACCGCTGCACTCTTTCGGCGCAGCAAAGTAACAAGATTTTCTATTTATAACGATGTGACATCATATATAAGTATAATAAATACATAGTAAAGTTTCGTTGTGTAACTAACGCGCGTACTAAAGGCATAAATACAAAATAAGGCTATGTATTCAAACAAAATTAGTGTACAAAATATAAATCTATTCAACGGGATTTCGTAACACGTACATTATTATCATATTTTATACGAGAGAGATATATATATACACAGATCGGCATTTCTTCATTGAAGACTCGATCATACAATAACTGGACAGCATTAACATTTTACGAAAAAGTGAATATACGTCGGTATTTATAGTCCGTTCTTATTTTAAGGCCGTCTTAAATAATATCTGAAGATGCTTATGCAACCCTCAGATTGACTTATGACATCTTAAGACAGTCTCAAATATAAAAATCGACTATGAATACCGGCCATATATATATATATTTTTTTTTCATTGAACAACTGAAGCTTATAAATTTCTCGAAAATAATCACGAATAGACAAACTATTAATAATTAATGTTTCATAATCTATAAATAGGTGCTCTCCATTTATTTAATTACATTCATATTGACTGACAAGTTTTCACATATTATATCCCAAAGAGAAAAATTTTAATAAACATTCGACCATAATCAATTACCATAATTATTTTTTGAAACACATTATTACAACGTTATCACATGTTATAAAGAATATATCTCTATATAAAGCATAATCTGGATTCAGTATAATTTCAATAATTCATAAAAATTAATAAATTGTTAAATGACAAAAAAGTGGAAACTTTACGCAAATATTGGTCGATAATTCACCAAAATTTGAGTTTTTAAATAACTCTTCAGATTTATAGAACTTAATAAATAAATGCCTCGATTTTCACAACTTCAAAGTATCGATCATATAATTTTTTCTATAGAGAAAATGTAAAAAGTGAAAATTTTTACGTGATATATATGTATATACATATACACACATACATATAAAAAATTTTCATTCTTCACGCTCTAGGGGAAAAATACATACATGATTGACGACCCCTTGTAGCGGAATGAAAGTTTATAATTTTGCGAAATTTGATTTTGATACAAATGTATCATATTGTCTTATATTACGTACTAAGAAACTTTATAAACTTTATGTCGAATATCAAAACGGTATTATTTTTAACAAAGTTGTGCCCGCACAATTCAGCGTTGGCCTGTACTGATAATTACAGTTTTTCAAATGTGATGAACTTTGATATATATTTAAATCTGGACGTCTAAATCTTGTCCGACGCAAAAGCAATCAAAAGATTACCGTTTAAAACAAAAGTCAATACATATGTATACATTTTAATAAAAGCAAATAATACCACGTATCGACATAATGCATAAAATTCGAATAACTTCCAGATAACGCTCGATCGATTTTCGTCGAAATTATTGTTGCATAGATAATACATATCGGTATGAAACAACGCAATAATCGTTTATACCAATGTAAATTAAAATATTTCAAGTAAATATAGCGTTTCTGTAGCACATGGTGAATATTTCGCGTATGAACGCGTAGTCTAGACTCGGCTAATCATCTAAATTTTAATTATAACGCGTACGCGCGCGAACAACGATGTGTTAGTTTTAACTGAGTGCGAACGTTTATTATATAGTTATATAAGAGAGCGGAACATTTTTGTAGCAATTATTCTCGTGTGTCACGGATATTAAATGTAAAACGTTTCGCAACGTGAAACTGTTTAAGCTCCATTTAAGTTCCGTTTTTGTACCTCTTCTTATGATTTTTTAGGCTTATCACATGTTTTATTATACACTAACGCGAGAGAGATTCAAAAAGTAGTACCTTAAATATAGATAATAAATTTCCAAAAATTTCGAATCTAGAAGTGACATATTTTGTTATCGAGACATTATTAGTTATTTCCATACGCAACGGAAGCAACACTTTCGACGCACGAGAGTATCCGATATTTGATTCATTTAATCTCGTATGCGCTGTAACAATCCATATATATTTCAGTGTGTATTCAGTTAATAAAAGCGTTATTTTTTCTAAAAAAAAAAATTATTCATAAAAAAACCAACGTGCAATCCCTCTTAAGTATCTCGATGATTAAGGGACATTATTCTAATACTTTCTAATCATTTTTGTTCAGCTTAATTTACATCGCTTTAAAATAACATAATCAATACAAATGAAACATCTATCCGAAAAAAACACGGATACTCGTACGCAAATGAGATTATACCATGTGTCCGATTCTTTACAATCTTGTCAACAATCTTACCTAAAGCATTATCAGTACTCTTTTGGTCCTATTGTCTACTATACTATACAGATATATCAGCGTCAAAGTTTCGCTTCTCGCACCATGTATAACGACAGATCTAAAAACGCGATCGTATATCATAATTTCATCTCCCATAAGACGATATGTGCGTCGTTGCTGTTAGGATCTTTGAACGCGTAGGTCGATTTTGAACTCTTGTCAATACCGGATTGCGCGTGGAGTTGCCTCCAATTGATATAACCACGTCCACCCATCAGTGTTAGCACCGTTCTTTTGGGTTGATCTACTTGCTGAATCGCTTTGCCATTTTTCTTGCCATTCGCCTTGAGATTAGTCGCGGACGTTGCTTCCAATCCCGATTCTACTACGCTATTGTTGGGTGTAGAGAGGTCGTAGGGACCATTACGACTAGCTATGCTACTATTACGCGACAATTTTCCAGTTTTTAGAGACAAGTTTTCCTCCGATCCGGAAGACGTGTACAAGGAGCTGGTGTGAGAGTCCACCGACCAATTGGAAAGATCCAGCGATCTAGGCCTAGTGATTTTCATTTTTAATCTACGATCCAAGGTACTCACTTTATTTGGTATGGCAGCCAGCTCTGGATCGCTTCTTCTCAACGACTCGTAAATGGGATCTATACCCGAATTGTTTTCATTTTCATAATCTTTCACGTACATCAATTCACCGTACAGTCCGTAAACGTCACAGTTTTCACCGGAACTTTGCGAGCTAGAGAAGGAGCTCGATAGAAATCCACAGCCAGCGCCTAATCCCCTAGGAAGTGTTTTCGAGCCTCTGCAGTCATATTCCTTGCTTCGTTTTCTCCTCAACATCACTGGGCTTCCCGTTAATTGTTGTTTCAGTTTTATGATGTTACTACACATAGAAGAATCTAAACTCGTTCTGTCACGCGATCTCTGCTCGGCGTCTTTCGTTCTCAATTGTACACTTTCGTCATCAACATTAACTCGTTCCTTCGCAGAGTACACTGTATTTTTTGTATTTTGTATCGCCAGTAAAAAAGTGATCGGACCGAAGTGAGCGTGATACGAGATATTGACACGGCCGCTGATAATAGGTACACCTTCCAATCGCGGTAGTGGAATAGTCAAACTAATGCCTACATTAGTACCGACCCATAATAGACCCTTGCATGCTAAAAGTGCCGTGACCGTGACCGTGGTTTGATTATTAACAGCGAGGGTGCCAGCGCATGAGTTTGCAGGATTGTTCATTTTCGTCACTCTCAACACATTGGACGCTATATTAATGTCCTGCAGGTGTTTGAATGTTTCCGTATGATAAAGGCAAACTGTGCTAGAATTTTTTAAAGCGACCCAAAGACCGACTCCGGAATGGGCCATGAGCTTCACATTTCCGACATGTTCATGTTGCGCGTTGAAGCTCTTGGTGATGTCACCCGAAGTAGCGTTAAGTACCCACACCTTCTTGCCACAAGCGGCATAAACTGACGTATTGATTGGCATTAAGCACGAGACAGGATCGTTACCCAATGATATGCTGAAAGGATCTTTGAAACTCCATGCGCCATCGGCTTGTCGTTTAAACAAAAGTAACAAGCCCATGCCTAAAGCTACGAAAACATTGTCGCAATGATACTTGATTTCTATTACGGGTCCTGAGACAGGATAACTGCCAATCTCTTCTTCTTTCTCGGGTTCCGTCGCGGCATAAATTATAATCCTTCGAGAATCCGTACCCATCCATACGAGATCGCTGGCGAGCGTAGTAAGATCGCTGGACACTCCTTTTACAAACTCGATAGCGCTCACTCTAGTCTCAACCAAATCAAAAGTAGCTACACGTTTCAAACAAGTCGCTGAAGCTGTTGTCGACTGACCAAAAATCGTTACGTGGCTAGATATACCATCTCCTGTACATATCCATAAGTAATTTTGACTTCTACCGCGTCGTCTCGTGGGACGTGAATTTTCAACGGAATAATAACAACCGCAACGCACCTGCAAGCAAAATATATTGCAACATGTAATGCGTTATGTATAAGCAATAAAATAGCAATGTACATATGTATTTTTTATCTCAACTTCTTACTTCAGTCTGATGTTGCGAATGATAAACGGCTTGTGAACTAACGAAAAGTGGCATTTTTGTGGATGGCCTTTGCTCTTGTTCAGGTACTTCCCACGATGGAGAGTTATTAGGATCCAAAGCTAATTGCGCCAATCTAAGCTCCGTTATCCAATCCTTTTTCACTAACGGGCTTTCTGTTTGAAACGTGTACATTTGACCTTGTTTTGTGACTAGCTGGAGACAACAACTATCGGCCCATACCATATCCTCATCTTTCTGCTGTATCGACATTTGAATCGATTGCAGAATTTGCTTCGTAGTCTGAAGTGTCATGCCCTTTGAATTAAGAGAAAAAAAACATTAACTGACTAGCGCAAATCAATTAAAAAATTTTTATAACAAATAGATAAATTATATATATTTCTTCAATATACAAAATGTACAGTAACGGACTTATCAATTTGTCTTTACCTCGTATCTGCCCTTTAACTGAGCCGCTAAATCACTAATTCTGGACATCACTTCGTAATCATGCATAAGATCGTTCATCTCTACACAGAGATTGTCTGCATCGGCTGCTTGCCCACATTCTCCGCTTTTGTCAGATTTTAAACTGCCGCCCTTATTCAAACCAGCGGTGAGTAATCGACTTAAAGTCGGAGAAGTGCTGGTGTCTTGAATCTAAATAGATACATTGTGATATTAATGTATCTTTAAAAAACATTCGATCGCGCACGTACGATTTAGTGTCATAAATAGGTGTTCAATTATTGAACAAGTTATCTATAATATTTTTATTCTATATATACCTCAATATCTGATACTGGATACGTCCATTTTAATGTTAGTCGCTCGTTTCCTGAAAAGTCCTCCGTGGATCTCGGAGTTACGGAAACGCACACTACTAAATCGTTTAGTAACAACAGCCTTCTTCTCTTCGATTTCGTTATCATGCCATTTTGATTAAATTCCTATAAATAATTATTTGTTCATAAATACATCACGTTGTGTTTCACGGTTGTATATTTGTTAAATGAGTTTTACCATTTGCGTGACATTGTCCTCTCTAATAAGATAACGAGATGTCGAAGAAAGTGGACGATGTGACAATTTTCCGGAAACATGTCGCAACATTTCCTTAAATGCTTGGAATTGTTCCGCTT